CACACACAGACACACACACACGCACACACACACATATATATATATATACATAAACGTATACCTAAACCATACATCTGTTTATAAATGTCAACATAGTGGTACAGAACGCATATTCCTTTAAGGTCAAGTCGCGGCTTTAATTGTTAATTGAAGCAGAGGTTCCTATACGGCTTCAACCTCAACGGGAAAAGAGATCAGTGGTGGCAAGTGTAATTTTCAGTGTGCCTTGACCATAGCCCACACATCCCAGACGTTGGTGACAAACTCGCCGCAAACTGCACTCGTAGACAGGCCCTTGATAGCAGACTCGAGCTTTAGCTGTAGCTCAAGCTTTGTTTGTTTGGAGAGTCCTAGTCAAGAGGAGATTGAAGAGATTCCTTCGATATGACCACTGCACGATGGCTTGTATGTACTGCTGTCGACCAAATTTAATGCTGAAAAGGTACGAGATACATCCTCATACAAGTGGTCTCAGACCCTAATGCGATGTTTAAAATGCTTGTGCTAGTAGCTGTGCAACACGCAAAATTGGTATTCAATGCCTTAATTCCTTTTCATACTTCATCTGTATTCCATGATGTCTTCCACAATATGAGTCGATGCGTTCTGAAACCCGAATCGCACTTTAACGGATAAGAATATGCACGTTCACCGCTCCTTGCTCATCTATGACGAATATACCATATAAAAGTTCAGATTGGCAGTAATGTGGAGACATTTTGCCATATGTGTATCACAACGTATCATCAACACTCAAGTACTCTGAGGGGATACAGTTCCGTCTGCAGGTTGTAACTTACCCCTGCCACGCACTACAACCGACGACGATGGCTGATGTTTCAGACATTTCTTGAGCAGATCGAATACATGTATGTATGACCGAAACCACTGAACTGAAAACGCTGTCAAAACTGGGTGGCCCATTGTATGCGATAGTTTAAGTTTAAATGAATGTACTCGTTGGCGGAGTTACTCAGTAGCTTGAAGTGAGTATGATCAAATCACATGATTGCCATCGATACCTGCTACCTACGACGTTCATTTTGCTTGTCTCTGTAATTAAACTCATGCACATAAATGATTGTGTAGACACAACGATCTTGATAGTGTACAGTATACAGTTGTGCGTACATGAGAAATGGTATGAGTCCATGCTATTTTGTACACGCTCACATTTGTGCATTGCGGTCCAAATAGTAGAGCGGACATGCTCAACTATAGCACACTTGTGGTCGCGGAGGTTGACCCATGATTGTACCACTGCGTATCTAAAAAGAGGCAGCGGGCAGGCTTTCAGATGCACATAACCGTGTATTTCTTGTGTGCTCCGGACAGTATGTACCAAATGTGCTATAAACAAACGTATCTACAAACTCTTCGTACGATCAGATCTAACGTGAGAGATGAACCTTCTTTCAGTATATTTACAATGTGTTTGCCTTTGTATGAGACGGTGTCAAGACTCCATTCGACAACGGTAACACTTGAACAATCTGGGATGTCATAGTACAACTAATATCAGCAACATTTAACTCCATTGATAAAATGCGGGCTTTCAATAATAGAATCGACTAGAAAATGAATCTCTGGACAATTTTATTTAAAAGTAAATTTTATCTTAATAGATTACGAGCATTGAAAAGCAGAGATTTAAACTGAAATTACAGTCGTACACACACACAAACATACACACACACACACACACACACACACACACACACACACACACACACACACACACACACACACACACACACACACACACACACACACACACACACACACACACACACACACACACACACACACACACACAC